GCCCAGGCTGATCTTGAACTCAGAGTGATCCTCCTGCCTCAGCCTCCTGAGTGCTGGGATTACAGGCATGTGCCACCATGCCTGGCCTCTTTGCACTTTCTGAAACAATCCTAGAAATCCTCTTTTGGTTGTGCAGCCAGAAGCACAGTGCCAGATACAGTGACTAAGGTGGATGAGGACACACTGTTGTGTTTTTACAAGCCTGCCTTCTGGTTGGATGGCACTCAACAACAGCATTCACTACATCTGTGACACAAAAGAGGACTTCCAGAACTGTTTCAGAAAGTGGCAAGAATAATTGGATAATAGTGTTTGAAAGGATAGGGAGTACAAGGGGAAGTACTCTGAGGAGAATTAATGGCAATTTCTTTTACTGTAATAAAATTTTAAATTAAACAGTTCATATTTGATCACACCTAGTGTGTGTATGTGTGGATTTGCTAAATTTATATATTGTCATTTTCCTTAGGAGGATTCCAAGTTCTACGATGGTGAGCACTTTGCTCATGTAGGCAGACAAATATTTATTGGATGAATGAATTCCTATTGCCACAAGTGCAGGAAGTACAAGGACCCCAACTCCCTCTACCCCCAGAAAAATACCGCGACACACCCAGAGTGCATTTGTCTTATTTATATCAAAACATCTTTCCCTCTCCCTCCCCCCTCAGACCTTCCTACCCCATTTCAGATTGGCCTGCAAGTCTATTTGAACCATTTAGTCATTTTTTATAGTTTATGAAAACAAATTATACAGCAACTATTTTAATAAATTAAGCACAAAAAGGGAGAGAAAAGAAAGACAACTAAATGGGAAGACAAAAGCCAGGCTACGCTTTGGCTTGGGGGACAGGGGTAGCTGAAGCGGTCGCAGTGGTTGCTGGAGTGGCCGAGAGCTGGTGACCACCGGGCCAGGACGCGCCCCTCTTCCTTGAGGTCCTTGCCCACAACCAGAATGTAGAGCAGTGGAGCCCTGGTCCTGCTTGTCCCTTGAGGGAGCACCAGAGACAGACGCATCCTCAGCCTGGCCAGCCCACTGCGCCAGAGCCGGTCAGGGAGTGGGCAGCAGCCTAGCACAAGTGTTCCCCCTCCTTATGCCACCTCCAGGAGCAGCTGCGATCGCAGTCCAGCTGCAACCTCGTGTTCACATCTGCCTGCCTGCCCAATGCTTCTTGGCGGCAGGGTGGGGGGGTTCTAGGTCCCCTGAACCCTCTGAGATGAACAGGGTGGGGGTAGGGGGTGAGGCAGGACACGCATGCAGGACTGGAAGAAGCTGGTGTCTCTGTGTACAAGTGGTGTGTTTGACAGCTTATGTGCTGATCATATTCATATAGTACTTTAAGCAAGGATGATTGGCTAACTTTCAAAAGTGGGGTCAGGGTAGACATCATCCTTTGAAACGTAGTTATTCTGATGAACAGACTGTTGACTATTGGCTGACTTTCGGAGAAGAGTTCACTAGAGTGGAACTATTTTAAAAATGGCAATGATTGGCTGCATTTTTTTTTTTTTTTCAGATACTGGGAATCAAACTCAGAAACTTGTGCTTACAAGGCAGGCATGGCACCGAGCTAAATCCCCAGCCCTTTTGTTTGTTTTTTAGAAACTGTTTTCCTAAGTTGACTTGCCATTGATCTGTTAGTTGAAATCACTTCTACTTGTATCATAGCTATAGTATTATCTTTCCCTAAGAACGTATATAACTTTAAACATTTGGGCTGCAGGGATTTAGCTCACTGGCACCACGCCTGCCTGGCAAGTGCAAGGTTATGAGTTTGATACCTGGAGCCAAAAACAAAACAAAACTGTAAACATTTATTCAAAAATATTGATGAGCACATCAGATGCAAGAGGAAGAGATTTAGTGAAGGTTTACAGTGGGCTAGAGCAGCTCTGCTCTGCTGTTTGACCATTTAGAGAGGATAATGCCCGCCTTTTTTTCTTCTCCTCCAGGCATCTCTCATGTTCATCCTCTCCAAACGTGATCAGTTTATTTTTTTGTTTTGTTTTTTGTACCGGGGATCGAACTCAGGTCCTTGTGCTTGCAAGGCAGGCAGTAGAACCATTGAGCTAAAGCCCCGGCTCCCAGGTGATCAGTTCAGATAGTCACATGAAGTGTCTTTTAGGGGCCACCACTGCCGCTGTTTAATGTTTTGTCAGCCAAAGGTTCATGTGCTGGAGTTTTGGAACCCACTGCACCAGTATTGGTAGGTGGCAGAACCTTCAACAGGTGGGGTCTGATAGGAGGTGATTAGGTCATTGAAGGCACCACCCTTGGAAGGGAAATATGTCTTTCCCTTACAATGTACTCAGTCTAAGGTATTTTACTATAGCAACACTAAAGGGATTGACACAATCATAAACATCATCATAAAATTCAGAAAAGGGTCATCATAATGTTACTAATTAATCATCTGACACACTTCTGTATTCTTTATTTATTTATTTTTCCCGTACTGGGCATCAAACTTAGGACCTTGCACTTGCTAAATCCCCAGCCCCTTCTTTTTCTTTTTTCTTTTTCCTTCATTGAGTTTATTGGTACGTTTTAGGTATACAGTACAGTTACATTCATTACTGGGATCTTGTACCTTTACATGACAGGTCTTGGTTCTCATTTTTCCCCTTGTCCCTGCCCCCCCTTCACCCCTCCTCCCCTCCCCATTTACAAACATTTTATTTCCATTTTTTCATGTTTTTTTTCTTTTCCCTTATTACCTTCCCCCTACCCTTCCCACTTTCCCTACACCTTTAGCCCTTTTCTTCCCATTTCACAATGTCAGTTATCTCATTAGGATCTTATGTATTTTTCTTTTTCTTTTCTTACATTTGTTTACAACTCATAGTCTGTCTCTTCATATGATAACCATTTTCTACAGCAAAGATTAAAAATTTAGCTTATTCCTCTAGTGTTTATTGTAACTTTTAGAGTTCAGGGAGACAGGTGTGGTAGCACATGACTGTAACCGCAGCACTCAGGAGGCTGAAGCAGGAGGATTGCTGTTAAGGTTAAGGTCATCCTGGGCTACATAGTGAATTCAAGGCCAACCTGAAGTACATAGAGACACCTTGTCTCAAAAAAAAAAAAAAAAATTCAGAGCATATTAGGTTTCTTCAGATGTATTATATCTGTAGTCTGTGGTGAGTGCTCATTAAATTCTAACAGAAAAGAACTTCCTTTTGTGGTTTAGCATTGATAAATCTTAAATCTTTAAAATCTTACATATCTAATAATTGGAGGCTTTTCTCACAGATTAGCCTCAGGCTCTCTAAATATCAACCTGCTTCTCCTCTACTCTCTGCACATTTTTATGTTATTTTTGCAGTGAAGGGGCCTGAAATCAGGGTTTCATGCGTGTTAGGAAAGCACTGTACCACTGAGCCACATTCCCAGCTGTAACTTTTTTTTTTTTTTTTTTTTTGGTACTGGGAATCGAACTCTGACCCTTGCACTTGCAAGGCAGGCGTCAGAACATTTGCGCTAAATCCCCAACCCCCCAGCTGTATTTTTTGATGTTAGAAAATAGCACAAATTCAAATAGCAAATAGTCTCGCCCTGCATCTTTGTTTTACAATCCTGAGTGGGTCAGCGCAGTGGGTGATAGGGCTACATATTCTTTGAAGCTTGAAAGATCTGGCCGTATCTTAACTACACATGGAAAACCTCATTAAACTCAAACCAAATGTATCCTAACTTAACTTTAGCTAAATTTTAAAACTGCCTGTTGGCTATTCCGATATCTCTAGCATGGCAGAGGGAGTTACTGAAGACTGAAGATTACAGTTAATATAAATCACTTTTAAGTTTTTATATAAGCATATGAGCATGTGACCTTTCCGGGACTCGGAAAGGGGCAGTGCAAATGAGAAAGTTGAAGCTTCAGTAGCGTTAGTAACTTTTTTTGGGTACAGGGATCAAACTCAGGACCTTGCACTTGCCAGGCAGGCACGGCACCATTGAGCTACATCCCCAGCCCCTTGCTTCACAGTGCATCTGCCTCTGAAGCCCTTCTGTGATTCCTGACCACTCTGAACTCCTAAAAATAGTGCTGAGGACTACAAGAAGCTTTTATGTGGATCATATCAATATTTACTGTATTCAGAGTATCTGTTTTATATTTTTGTAAATCTCTTTAATGTCTGACTTAAAAGAAGATTCTCATATATGTTTTGCACTCACATCTGTTATAATAGCACAGGTCGGTAGCCTCTGGAAAACCCCACTGCATTTCCATTACAATGAAAGAGGCAAAGAGTCTTAACAAGAAGTAATTTGACCTTGTTGACTCTGGCCACAGTTTGAGAAACTACTGATTTAGACGTCACTGAGTACCCTTTCTCTACTTCTGTATGTGTATAATAAACCCCACCTCCCAGATAAGCATCAATTGTTAATCATTGCTCTACTTTTTGGCACATTATGTAAATTTAGAAAGAACAATTTTTAATGAATAACAAGTCTTTGGGAGGTTCTTTCACTGACAAGAGAAAAATCACCTCCTTCCTTGACTCCTGGTGGTTAAGCTTTCTTCTTTTAGGAATATGACTCAAAGCAAACACAATATTTGATGCCTTATATAGAGTACTTAATTTGTGTGTGTGTGTGTTTCTGGGAGTTGAACACTGGGCTCTCTGCATTCTAGGCAAGCAATCTACTACTGAGTCCCTGGAGTATTTAATATTAGAACAACAGATTCTAATATTTACCAAGTCCTTGTTGTCTGCTAGGTGCATGCTAAGGGCTTTAAATCATTATCTCATTTCAGTCCCACAATAATCCTAGGAGAGAGATAGTACTCTCATTCCTGTTTAACAAATGAGGAAACTGAGATACAGAGAGCCGAACTTTTTACAGTCAGGATTTAAACCCAGATAGCCTGACTCTGAAACTCTGTTATCTACTGATAAAGTATAAAGGAGGCACATAGAGGGAGATTCCTACAAAATGTGGAAAGGTTAGTCAAGTTAAAAGCCTTTAAGGCCAAGACAGCTGACCATACCAAGATTAGATGCACTGTATTATTTTCCACGTAGAGGTTCTTTTCTGCTCTATTTTCTATGCTCCCATGTTCCTCCTTGCTGATGGCTTCGTCTCTTAGACTAAAAAGTTTACCCTGAAATTCAGGCACTAAGTAGCACGGGAGCCGGAAAAAAAAAAACCGTGGTAACCACGGTAACGGTGGCGTGGCGAGAGCACTACGCAGGCGCGTTACATCCCAGCCCCGCCCGCGCTCCCGCGCAGCCCAGCCCCAACCGCTCCTCTAGGGCTGGTACTCCAGGGGCCTGCCGCGTGTGGGTGTGAACGGGAGGCCGGTTGTGCGCCTGCGCAGGCCCGGGGGCGCGGGTGTGATCGAGCTCACGTAGCTGGGGCTGCAGTTGCCTCTTCCCTGGCAAGGCAGTCGCGGCCTAGAGGTTATAAAAGGGCTAACGGGCTCCCTCTGCTGCTCAGTCGCGCTGCCAGCGGGCTGAGGGCAAGGAGTGAGCAACCGGCCC